GGGGGGGGGCTGCAGGTGTGGGACTGGGGGTCTGGTGTTTGTCCTCGCTTTGGGGCGGTGGAGCCAGGGTGGTGGCTGGGTCTCGGGCTCTGCCATCACAGCGGTGCTGGGGTTGGGGGGTGGCATCCCACACTGGACCCCCACCTTGGGCCCCAGTGGGGCAAGGGGATGGGGGACACACTTGGCACCTGGGGGAGGGAGAGCCACCCGCAGCTCCCCTCGCCCTCAGGCTGCCGTGGGACAGTGCCACAGGGAGAGCAGCACCACGGGCACACAGCCCCCCCCGCCCCGGCCAGGGGCAGTGCTCCATTGGGGGGGTCACTGCTGAAGCAGGAGGGGGTCCCAGCTGTCCCCTGGCCTGCCAGGCTGGGGACGAGGGCACAGCAGGGGAGCGTGGCATCCCAGGGGGTGTGCAGCACCGCCAGAACACGCATGAGGCTCGGCGGGGCGGTGAACGCTGTGTCAGGGACCCCCGGCTCAGTCAGGCAGAGGCAGGCAGGTAGGCGCTTTCTCCCCCTCCCTGCCCACCCCATGGGGCTGGAGACGTGGGGCCGGCAGGGCTCAGCCCGGGCTGTCCTCGCAGGGCAGGCAGCACCCGCCACCACCAGCCACAACGGCTGCCACCACCTCTCGGTCAACCCTGAGCGGCTCAAGAGGGCCAGGCTGCACGTGGAGAGGGCCATCAAGGTGAGGGGCCTGACTTCACAGCCCCCCAACATGCCGTTATTGCATGTATGGCTTGGGGGTGAGAGCTGAGCTTTAGGGTCCCTCCCCAGGAGAAGAAGATCTTCATGGTACAGGGCCCCTACCCTGTCATCCGCCGCCTGTTGCGGGCCCGGGGCTGGGTGGAGAAGAAGCTCCCTGGCACGGGCAGGGTGGGCAGCCGGCCGGAGCAGCGTCATGGCAGCCAGGAGAAGCAGCTGCAGGAGGAGGAGGAGGGAAGTGATGGTGCTGAGCAGGGGGGGCCAGTGCTGGACACCCAGCTGGGGTCGGCATGCTGTGGGGCTCAGCCTTCCCTGGGGACCCCAGAGCCCCTGGGGTCCCCATGGCCGCCCAAGGAGGAGGAGGAAGAGGAAGAGTGGTGGGATGAGGACCCTGATGGCATCCATGAACTCATGGTTAGCTGAGAGGGCTAGGGCTGAGCTCTGCTGGGGCCCCCAGCACCCTTCCCCTGGGACCCCCAGGCACAGGGTACAGCCTGGGGCAGGGGGCGAGGGTGGGATGGGGGGTCCGTGCCTCACCCCGGCCCCCTCCCTCCCGCAGTCCCGCCTGGTGCGGGACCAGGTGCCGTACTTCATCTGGACGAACCGCCACAGTGCCATCGACTGCCGGCTGCTGCGGCAGGACCAGGTGGTGAACCACTACACCCGGGTGGGTGCCTTCACCACCAAGGTGGGAGCCTGGAGCCCCTGGGGCAGGGGGGAAACGACACAACAGGAGTGGGGGGAGTCCAGCAGGGGCTGCCACCCTTCTCTAAACAGGAGGGGCTGTGCCTCAACCTGCGAAACCTGCCCTGGTTTGACCAAGCTGACCCCGACGCCTTCTTCCCCCGGTGCTACCGGCTGGGGGCTGCGGATGAGCGGCAAGCCTTCATCGGTGAGCTCGGGGCTGGTATGACCCCCACAGGGCTTTTGCCCTCCTGTCCGCCCCCCCCCCC